CAACAATCTCTGCAGCACTCCACCAATCAGGCCTTTATGGTAGAGTAGCCAGCCGGAAGCCACTCCTCAGTAAAAGGCACCTGACAGCCCGCTTGGAGTTTGCCAAAAGGCACCTAAAGGACTCTCAGACCATGAGAAACAAGATTCTCTGGACTGATGAAACCAAGATTGAACTCTTTGGCCTGAATGTCAAGCGTCACGTCTGGAGGAAACCTGGCACCATCCCTACGGTGAAGTATGGTGGTGGCAGCATCATGCTGTGGGGATGTTTTTCAGCGGCAGGGACTGGGAAAGATGAACGGAGAAAAGTACAGAGAGATCCTTGATGAAAACCTGCTTCAGAGCACTCAGGACCACAGACTGGGGCGAAGGTTCACCTTCCAACAGGACAACAACCCTAAGCACACAGCCAAGACAACACAAAAAAAAGTATCTGAATGTCCTTGAGTGGCCAGCCAGAGCCCAGACTTGAACCCGATCGAACATCTCTGGAGAGACCTGAAAATAGCTGTGCAGCGACGCTCCCCATCCAACCTGACAGAGCTTGAGAGGATCTGCAGAGAAGAATGGGAGAAACTCCCCAAATACAGGTGTGCCAAGCTTGTAGCGTCATACCCAAGAAGACTTGAGGCTGTAATCGCTGCCGAAGGTGCTTCAACAAAGTACTGAGTAAAGGGTCTGAATACTTAAGTAAATATGATATTTCTAATACATTTGCAAAAATGTCTAAACCCGTTTTTGCTTTATGGGTTATTGTGTGTAGATTGCTGAGGGGATTTTTAATTTTTATTAAATCCATTTTAGAATAAGGCTGTAATGTAAGAAAATGTGGAAAAAGTGAAGGGGTCTGAATACTTTCTGAATGCACTGTATATCCTAACATCACTTTGTCGGGCTAAGACTCAACATCAAAACTCAAAAGAACAGACAACAACGCTTCTGTTTCACCACTCACGACACTCGGTCTGTGTCGCACCAAACGACAAGCATCACCAACCCCAGTAATCACTCCTTTCAATGGCACCCTTTTCTTGAGAGCAAAACAATTCACATTTCTTGTCCCCATTCGTTTAACGCGGAGCGCCTGCTCCCTCTGACCAGCAGAAACACAAACAATTATCACCAGACCACTTCTGGTTACCTTCACCGATTCCACAGCACCCAACTTTGTTTTCCCCCACCCTGAAACCACACATGTATCAGCCAAAAGGCAAGGGTCCAGTTTTTCAAAAAATGTCACTCCTACCGTCACAGAATATCCTGACCCTCGGTGCAAGCCTCGGGCTGCGAGAACGTCACCACACCTACCCCCTCCGATACTTCACCCTCACTCACTTCCATTTCTCCTCCTGTCTTCGATCTGGTGTACAACTCACTCTGCTTACACTTTCTACCATTCGTCTTTAACAAACCATCTTCCTTTTCCCCGCCATTTTTAACTGATTCAAGCTCACCCTCTTCCTCTATCTCTTAGACCTCCTCTGCCTCTCTTTTTCCCTCCATTCCTCCTCCGTCATTCAAGTATACGTCTCCTTATGATAATACTGCACTTCTCCTGACATACACTATATATACAAAAGTATGTGGACACCCCTTCAAATTAGTGGATTCGGCTATTTCAGCCACACCCGTTGCTTACAGGTGTATAAAATCGAGCACATAACCATGCAATCTCCATGGACAAACAGTGGCCTTACTGAAGAGCTCAGTGACTTTCAACTTGGCACCGTCATAGGATGCCACCTTTCCAACAAGTCAGTTAGTCAGATTTCTGCCCTGCTAGAGCTGCCTCGGTCAACTGTAAGGGCTGTTATTGTGAAGTGGAAATGTCTAGAAGCAACAACGGCTCAGCCGATAAGCGGTAGACCCCAGTAGACCCACAAGCTTACAGAATGGGACCTCCGAGTGCTGAAGCGCGTAAACATTGTCTGTCCTCGGTTGCAACACTCACTACCGAGTTCCAAACTGCCTCTGGAAGCAACGTCAGCACAAGTAAGAACTGTTCGTCGGGACCTTCATGAAATGGATTTCAATGGCCGCGCAACCGCACACAAGCCCCGGTTAGCTGCTCCAGTCCAATGCCAGAGCAGTCCACTCCACCAGTGCCTAGTCCAGCCCTGGTCAGCTGCTCCAGTCCAGAGCCAGAGCAGTCCGCTCCACTGGGGTCCAGTTCAGCTTCGGGCAGCGGCTCCACTCCTCCAGTGCCAGAGCAGTTCGCTCCACCGGTGCCCAGTCCGGGTCCGGTCGTCTACTCTCCCACACCAGGGTCCAGACAGGACTTGGTGCATCGCGGGAGGACTGCAGAGCCAGAACCAGACGTCAACCCCTCTCCAGGGTCGGGGCCTCCCACACCAGGGTCCAGACAGGGCTTGGTGCATCGCGGGAGGATTGCCGGTCCAGGCCCAGACGTCAGCCCCTCTCCATGGTCGGGGCCTCCCACACCAGGGTCCAGACAGGGCTTGGTGCATCGTGGGAGGACTGAGAGGGGAAGCATCGCGCTGGGGTCCAGACCGGACCAGGTGTGCAACGGGGAGCCAGAAAAGGAGAGGACAGTAAGGGTGACGTCGCGCCCGGAGCCGGAGCCTCCACCGAGGCTAAATGCCCACCTGGACCCTCCCCTAATGAGTCAGTTTTGCGGCCAGGGTCCGCACCTTTGGGGGGGGGGGGGGGGGGGGGGGGTACTGTCACGCCCTGACATAGAGATCTCTAGTTAGTTTGGTCAGGGTGTGAATAGCTATGTGTAGATCTATGTTATCTATTTCTATGTTGGCCGGGTGTGGTTCCCAATCAGAGGCAGCTGTCGATCATTGTCTCTGCTTGGGGTTCATACTTAGGCAGCCATGTTGCCTACCTATGTTGTGGGATCTTGTTTCTGGTTTGGCTTGTTTATGTGTAGCCCATTAGAACTTCACGTCATGTTGCTTTTGTTGTGTGTTTACTTCTTAATTAAACATGTACGCATACCACGATGCACCTTGGCCCAATCCTTTATATGACGAATGTGACAGATAATGGTAAATCTGGATTAAATACATTTCACATAACACATTTAAAGGGGGAAATAGTGTCCTAGTGAAGATGGCATCTTCACAAAATCATACAGTTCACAATAATAAAACATTCTCAACAGTTTCATCTATAATACACCCATCCCCCATTCCAGTATCATGTTTCAGTAAACATTTTAAGAAGAGTTTAATCCCGTATGATCTCATCTTGCACAAGACAACTTCCTCCCTTCTGTTACCATTATATGACACTACCTCCCATACAGATTTCCTTATACTATAGAAATGTTTCCCCTTAATACTCAAACCCCATTGTCTCTGCCAGCAATCCAACCCAGTCTTTTTGAATCTATGTTTTTACCTCACCCAACTGAACCACTATATAATTTTTCACTGTACCCTTTGCGATTAGATCTACTCTATCATTTCCCTTTACTCCTGCAGGGGCAGGAATCCAACAAAACTGAACCACAATACTATTCCTTGCAAGCCCTTCACAACCTGCTTGTCCAAGAGCATTGATTTGAGCTAGGTGCTGCACAGTTTGAGTAATATTTTAAAGGACCAGTGCAGTCAAAATTCAGTTTTTTCATATTGTACAACAGCTGATGAATCTAACACTGTATAAGTGTGACAGAATTTGATCAGTGTTATTTCCTGATTGTTGCTGGTTGAAAATACAATCTACACAGGACCTTCTAATCAGCAGGTTTGCATGGGCAGGAGTTTCGGCATTCCATGGTGAGATCACCATGCGGTAAATTGGTTAATAGACCAATAACAAAGAGAATTCCAAATCTCTCTGCCAATAACAGCTAGTGTTCAGTTATCTCCTCCCCACTCGGACCCCTCCCAGACAGTCCTAGCACAATTCTTGCTTAAAAATTTTTTTTTTTGCTAAAAAGCTATTTTTGCCCATTTCAATTGAAATCTATTACAGTAAGGTACTTAATTGTTACCCAGAAATGATTTGATATTGATATAAAAACAGCTGCATTGGGCATTTAAACTGAAAATGGTCTTATTCTTATTTGATTGTTTTGTATGGAAGGCCATTCCCTTGTCAACAAATGTTTTTAATGACTTCAAGTTACGAGATATTAGGCATCACATTTTTTTGTTCGTATTTTAATATTTTGAAAAATCTCTAAATATTTGAGATTGTTTCTCATAACTTGAAGTCAAAAAAATAATGTTGGCGGGAATAGATTGTTGATCTGATACTTTCTTTTTACTTTTGGCAAATCAATCAATGTCTCTCAAACTTTTTTTCTACCATGGACCAGCAGCTGGGAAGCTTCCTCCTTGGGGGACCACTTACATTAAAATTTGAGCACTTGAGCACAAAATCAGTGTCAGCTAAACATCAGCTTAACATCTAAACATCAGAATAAGGGATGGCAGGTAGCCTTGAGGTTAGAGCGTTGGGCCAGTAACTGTAAAGGTTGTGGTTTGAATACTGGAGTTGACAAGGTAAAAAAATATATAGATATTTCGCTGTACCCTTGAGCAAGGCCCTTAGCCCTAATTGCTCCAGGGGTCCTGTTCGATTGTGACCGAACTCCCTGTGGGTGTCTCAGGGGGAGTTGGGATTTGCAAAACAACACATTTCCATTATGCACTTGTGTGTAACAGTACAAATATAAGCACCCCCCAGGGTTTAATCTCTCGTGGACAAACTACATAACATAAATGGTAGGGAGGATCTGACGCAATTACGTCAGATCTGGGTTTCCGAGATTAGGCAGGTTTTAGGCCTTCTCTGTCTGGTCCAGTAGGTGGTAGTAATTCACCATTAAAATAGGTTAAATTAGGAGAAGAAGCAGGAGCAGAAGAAGAAAAAAAATGGTGGTAGTGTGCAGGCCATAGCGCAGGTTTATCTTTGAGAAAGCAACTACGTCTGTTAGCCGGGAGAGGGCCTGGGTTTATTGCATGGGGAGTGTGGAAAGCCTATGTAGTTTAATTTTATTCTCAGTGGTTCTTATACTTGCCATGTCTACCAACGTTGATTGTGGAGGTGAAAAGCTTGCGTCTGTAGATTTCGAGATATTCGGGAATGTCCAGGGTAGGTAGGAATACTAGGCTACCCAGCGCATGTTCAGCTGTCTGCCTTGGGGATCTGAGCCTGTATGTAAAAACGTCAACGCACACAATGCACACTGCCTGAAGTAGATTCACCGAGTAGGCAAGTTCGGTTACAATTTTCACTGTGCAACCGAAACATAGCATGCTGCTATCCATATTTTCAAATGCAATTGTTTTCCCCTATGGCATGGTGCAAGTTAGCCCTTTTGACTCCAATGCATTACATTACATTGCATTAGAGTTATTGAATATTGCTGAGGGGAATTGATCAAGGCATGAAATGCTGTATCTAAAAACAATTGATCCATTGCAAACTTAATTATCATCCAAAAATAACTTTACAAATACAAAATATACACTTCTTCCCCCTGGTCTTTTTTGTGTGTAACACAGCTTCGAGACAATGTTTTTTTTTTGCCTTCCGAGATTCCATTAGCTCAGGAAGTGTCATAGTTCAGGTACATGTGCAACGCAAAACACCTCCATTAGAATATGTTCAAACAGTACACAGTAAGTGTATCTTTTGTATTTGTAAAATTATTTTGGGGTGATATGAAAGAATTTCGGAGGTTTCCAAATCGGTATTGCACGCGTAAGGACTGTTGTACACATTGGCCGTGCTGTGGTCAATGGCTTGAATGATAACCAAAGAGGGCTGGGTATGGCCCCTTAGATTTTCGACAGCTTCTAGTCTCTGAAAGCATACAAGACCAGTGCATCAAGTCAATAAAGCAAGATATAACTAGTCTGGAATATTTCAATATGATTTACCCTTATTTATGTTGTTTATTTTGTTCTTACAGGTGTTTGCTTCAGAATGGTGAGCAACTTAACTTACATTTTCCTCAACATGCAAAAGGCGATTACATTTTTTAAATAATACTAATTGAAAATAAAAGTAGAACAAAGTATATATTTTAAAACCCATCACATTCCATTTTGATTTGCAATGTGTGTTAGTATTTTCCCCTCTTTCATCAACTTTATTCTTATTTTTTAATTATGTGTTCCATACATATTGATCAAGTGAAGTGTGTTAGTATTTTCATGTAGCCTACATACTGGGGAGAGAATCTTTGGTTCAGTTTCTAAGATACATTGTACAGTGTTATCTTTATAAGAAGATAACCCCAGTTAGTGCACTAATATTACACCCCTGTGCCGTCTTTCCTTTGGTTCTGTGTTTTCCAGTACACAGAAGACCAGGGGAAGAAGCTGGGTGTTAATGGCTGGGTGAAGAACACAAGAGAAGGAACAGTGGTTGGCCAGGTACAGGGGCCCCATGACAAGGTCAATGAAATGTAAGTCCACTCTGAGATAGACAATACAATTCATTAGACAGGACACGATTCAATGAACCACTCCATTGCAATGTATAGGCAATGTCTTGATTTACAAACTACTGCATACCAGAAGAGGCTAGTGGGAGGAGCTATAGGAGGACGGGATCATTGTAATGTCTGGAATGGAATTAATGGAATGGAGTCAAACCAGCCTCCTCTGCTGCACACATCTTATTCTGTAAACTGGAATCAGCTACCTGAGGGGCGGGTCTACCTGTTTATTTATTTTTATTTAATTTTTTACAGCACCCCAATCTGTTGTGGGAATTTTTATATGATACTGTGTAAATACTGCAATGCTGGTTCAAAGGAATTTAGCCCTCAGCATCACAACACTCAACCAATATTTTTTATTTTCCATTACCATTTAAAGACACACAGAGAGACATAACATATTATAAGCCTTATTCTAATCATAAAGGCTCATACATGCTTTTAACAAGTAATACCGCTTCATACTTGTAAGTAAAGTGTTTAATGATGCCTATACTACATGTATCAAATCAAATTGTATTTGTCACAAGCGCCGAATACAACAAGTGTAGACCTTACACAGGTGAAGACCGGCTGACTCCGGTAAGACAAGGGGTGGCGGTCTGTGTATATTTGTAAACAACAGCTGATGCACAAAATCTAATATTAAGGAAGTTTTGCTCACCTGAGGTAGAGTATCTCATGATAAGCTGTAGACCACACTATTTACAGAGAGAGTTTTCATCTATATTTTTCATAGCTGTCTATTTACCACCACAAACCGATGCTGGCACTAAGACTGCACTCAATGAGCTGTACAAGGCCATAAGCAAACAGGAAAACGCTCATCCAGAGGCAGCGCTCCTAGTGGCCGGGGACTTTAATGCAGGGAAACTTAAATCCGTTCTACCTCATTTCTACCAGCATGTTAAATGTGCAACCAGAGGAAAAAAAACTCTAGACCACCTTTACTCCACACACAGAGACGCATACAAAGCTCTCCCTCGCTCTCCATTTGGCAAATCTGAAGATAATTTTATCCTCCTGATTCCTGCTTATAAGCAAAAACTAAAGCAGGAAGCACCAGTGACTTGGTTAATAAGGAAGTGGTCAGATGACGCAGATGCTATGCTATAGGACTGTTTTGCTAGCACAGCCTGGAATATGTTCCAGGATTCTTCCAATGGCATTGAAGAGTACACCACATCAGTCACTGGCTTCATCAATAAGTGCATCGATGATGTCGTCCTGACAGTGACCGTACGTACCCCAACCAGAAGCCATGGATTACAGGCAACATCCACACTGAGCTAAAGGGTAGAACCATTAAACAGGCAAAGAGTCAGTACAGGACTAAGATTGAATTGTACTACACCGGCTCCGACGCTTGTCGGATGTGGCAGGGCTACAAAGGGAAGCACAGCCGCGAGCTGCCCAGTGACACGAGCCTACCAGACAAGCTAAATCACTTCTATGCTCGCTTCGAGGCAAGCAACACTGAAGCATGCATGAGAGCATCAGCTGTTCCAGATGACTATGTGATCACGCTCTCCGTAGCCAATGTAAGACTTTTAAGACAGATTACCAGGACGCGTACTCTGAGCATGCGCTGACTAATTTGCAAGTGTCTTCAGTGACATTTTCAATATGTCCCTGACTGAGTCTGTAATACCAACAGGTTTCAAGCAGACCACCATAGTCCCTGTGCCCAAGAACACTAAGATAACCTGCCTAAATGACTACCAACCCGTAGCACTCACATCTGTAGCCATGAAGTGCTTTGAAAGGCTGGTCATGGCTCACATCAACACCATTATCCCAGAAACCCTAGACCCACTCCAAGTTGCATACCGCCCCAACAGATCCACAGATTATGCAATATCTATTGCACTCCACACTTCCCTTTCCCACCTGGACAAGAGGAACACCTATGTGAGAATGCTATTCATTGACCATAGTGCCCTCAAAACTCATCACTAACCTAAGGACCCTGGGACTAAACACCTCCCTCTGCAACTGGATCCTGGACTTCCTGACAGGCCGCCCCCAGGTGGTAAGGGTAGGTAACAACACATCTGCCACGGTGATCCTCAACACGGGGGCCCCTCAGGGGTGCGTGCTCAGTCCCCTCCTGTACTCCCTGTTCACCCATGACTGCATGGCCAGGCACGACTCCAACACCATCATTAAGTTTGCCGACGACACAACAGTGGTAGGCCTGATCACCTACTACGATGAGACAGCCTAAAAGGAGGACGTCAGAGACCTGGCCGTGTGGTGCCAGGATAACAACCTCTCCCTCAATGTGATCAAGACAAAGGAGATGATTGTGGACTACAGGAAAAAAAAGAGGACTGAGCACACTCCCATTCTCATCGACAGGGCTGTAGTGGAACAGGTTGAGAGCTTCAAGTTCCTTGCTGTCCACATCACCAGCAAACTATCATGGTCCAAACACACCAAGACAGTCGTGAAGAGGGCATGACAAAGATTTGGCATGGGTCCTCAGATCCTGAAAAAGTTCTACAGCTGCACCATCGAGAGCATCCTGACTGGTTGCATCACTGCCTGGTATGGCAACTGCTCGGCCTCCGACCGCAAGGCACTACAGAGGGTAGTGCGTATGGCCCAGTACATCACTGGGGCCAAGCTTCCTGCCATCCAGGACCTCTATACCAGGCGGTGTAGGAGGAAGGCCCTAAAAATTGTGAAAGACTCCAGCCACCGTAGTCATACTGTTCTCTCTGCTACCGCATGGCAAGCGGTACTGGAGCGCCAAGTCTATGTCCAAAAGGCTTCTTAACAGCTTCTACCCCCAAGCCATAAGACTCCTGAACAGCTAATCATGGCTACCCAGACTTTTTTACTTAACACTTATTTTTCTATACTATATTTTTGATTAAGGGCTGTAAGTAAGCATTTCACAGTGAGGTCTACACCTGTTGTATTCGGCGCATGCGGCAAATAAAATGTTATTTTATTTTATTTGAAATGCTTACTTACGAACCCTTAGCCAACAATGCAGAATTTTTAAAAAGTAAGTAAGAAACATTAGCTAAATAAACTAAAGGAAAAATAGTAACACAATAAAATAACAATTACGAGGCTATACACAAGGGGTACCGGTACTGAGGGGTGCAGGGGTACGGGGTTAGTTGAGGTAATTTAGGTAATATGTACATGTATGTTGGGGTAAATTGACTATAGATAATAAACAGAGAGTAGCAGCAGCGTATGTGAAGAGTGTGAATGTATGTATGTCCGTGTGTGTTGGAGTGTCAGTGTAGTATGTGTGAGTGTACATGGAGCCTGTGCAAGTCAGTGCAAAAATTTTTTAATAAAATGTAGTCATACCTCAGAGCAGTTACTTTGGTTGAAACCAGGCAAGAGTATCACTGACACCATGCAGCTACTTTAATATCATCACACTTGGGAGAGCTTAACAGAGGGCATTCATTTGACTTATTTTCTGTATTTAATAGAGATAATACCGCTGTATATTGAGAATGCAATATACTACTTTGCCAGTAGGTGTCATTATATGACCAGACTATTACCAAATGGCAGGGTTCCCCAACTGGTGGCTTTTTATTTTGCCAATGTATTTGTACATAAAAATATTTTGGGGTTGGATATAAAATACTGTAAAAAAACAGCAAATCAGCTCTAAGTGATTTTAATTTAGAAAATCTGTTCCAAAGTATTCCCACACATAATAGAGAGATATATGTGATCCTATACAAAGTTTGAAGGTATGCAAGGTTTGAAATGATTATGTTTTTTTTACGTCATTTAGCAGACGCTCTTATCCAGAGCTACTTACAGTTAGTGCATACATTATTTCATACTGGCCCCCCGTGGGAATCGAACCCACAACCCTGGCGTTGCAAACGCCATGCTCTACCAACTGAGCTACATCCCTGCCGGCCATTCCCTCCCCTACCCTGTACAACGCTGGGCCAATTATGCGCCGCCCCATGGGTCTCCCGGTCGCCTACGACAGAGCCTGGATTCGAACCAGGATCTCTAGTGGCACAGCTAACACTGCGATGCAGTGCCTTAGACCACTGCGCCACTCGGGAGACACAAATGTTATATGTCTTTGTGCTTCTTGCGGTCAATTTGCAGTCTAAAAATGATTTTTTATTATGATCGGGCCCCCTGACCATCCGCTCAAGAAGGAGTTGGCACGTGTCTAAATCTAGTTGATGATCCCTGCCCATGGAATACTCTAGAGTAGAGCTCCCCATGCCTAGTCACAGGCTGTGGCCTGATTCTCTATCCCCAAAGTGTGTGCTCGCAAACTCCCCCTCATGGATTTAAAAGGAATGGACTGGTGTATGGTAGAAACTCCCTCTTGAAGAAAAGGAGGGTGATATGCATGTTCTAAACTTGCGAAAACCGGTGCTGGACAAAGAATATTACTGAGATAAAGGAATGAGATCCCCGCACACAGAATATGGCTGCTCCCCAGTGCGTTATTCCTGCACCCAAATGTATTGTGTATTTGGGTGCAAAAATAAGCACTAGGGAGCAGAAATATTCTGTGTGCCGGCCTCTCATTCGTTTATCTCAGGGAACTCCCCTTTGCCCATGCTTGCACCAATCCAATGCTTTTAAAACCTTGAGAGGGAGTGGATGAGTGCACACTTCAGGGGAAAGGCTAGAGAGACACAACATAGAATCTCCCACTTTGTGTACAGAGTTACAGGGTATATCTGAATAGATTAAGATGGCTTTCTCTCCTTGTCTCTTCTCTATTTTACAAGGTAAACAAGCTAGTTTTAAGCAATATGCCACTTTTGATATGTTCTGCCAGTATGCGTGCCCTTCCTCCACCCTGCCCTGGGTATGGGTACAAGTTTCCCTTAGGCACAGATCTAGGATCAGCATACCCTCCTTAAATCCTATATTAGCAGGGAGGGATGCAAAACTGAAGGATGCTAAACTGACTTCAGATCATTGTTGAGGGGCAACTTCATCGTACTACTTCCCTGACCTGCTTGGTGGGTGTGGCTCAGCCTGGAGTTCCTAAAACCGAGGCACATGGGAGATTAAGTCAGCCTGGGTCGAGCTGTGGATTACATCACCAGGTTCTCTACGTGCTGGAGAGGTGGAGGAGGGTCCAACTAGGGGCCAGCAGGGGAGTATTGCCTTTCACAAAGCCTGACCTCGTGTGTGTGTGTGTGTGTGTGTGTGTGTGTGTGTGTGTGTGTGTGTGTGTGTGTGTGTGTGTGTGTGTGATTGATTGCAATGGATCCTCCAAATCCTTGGGCTTGTTTCTAATTTCTATTGTATTGTGACTTGCATAATGGTAAATGAGGTATGTGATGAAAAATGGTAGATTATAGAAACTACCCTAAACTACCTTAACATTAATCTCTCCGGGGAGCTCCTCCACCCATTGGCTATAGAGTATTTATCTCCAACATTTGGGGGGAGGGGGCCTCTTGAAGTATGTGTATTTTTTAATGTACACACTGCAGTGTTTGTAATCATTCAACTGTGTCTGATATTGCCATTTGAGTGTTGAGCTTTTGCTGCACAAAAAAGCATTCCTTTTTATTCCGGCCTGCGAACACGAGATGCGAGAACAGAAATGTGTTTGGTCATTAAATATTGAAACCGACAGAGCATGCGGGGTTGGAATCTGCTGGAGTCTGCCTGCCTTCCCCCCTCTTTTTTCTCTCTCTCACTAGCAATATATCTTCCCCCTGTCCTACTATCCAGGGTTGGAATTGCTAGAGTCTGCAGATTTATCTCCTTTTGTCCCATGTCTTAGTCCTGATATCCACCACTTTATCTTTATTTTTCTGGGCCTTTTACCTGAATGATCCTTTTCAGTAGTGTGGAGATAAGGCTAGCTTAATTTGAACTAATGCAAGGTGTTGTTGGAATGTTAAAGATCTAGCTATGTCTCAAAGGGCTCTTGTCAAGCAGTACATAAAGTAATGGTACCACCTTACGATGAAGGCACTTAACTGACTCATCCACAATGTGTATCAGGACCAAACCAGTGAGAGGGTTGGAGCCTCCCAGTTCTTCCCTTGAAAACACAATGAGCAGCAGCATAGACTTGAGCACATAGATGGGCTCCACTGTGTACATGGGGTGGGGTGGGGGTGGGGTGGGGGGGGTCATTGACCAGCGGATGTGGTAGAGTGAGAGAGAAGGAGCTCTTAATCTCACCGCTATAGAAAACACAAAGGGGAAAGATAGGTCATAGACATCCAATACAGGTCATCCTCTGCCAACTACTCAGAGATGCGAGATAGGGAAATGTAAACAAGCAAGGGTGGGTGTTCTTAAAGGATTCATTTGGCTAAATACCTCCCTCCCTTGGCAGCTAGCAGTGCAATCATTTTCCAATTTCCCTGTTTTCTTTTGTTAGGGTTGGGTTTCCTGAAAACTGGGTAGATCTATGCACTTAATACATTGTTTATAATACTATAATAGCCTGTGTCCGAATGTAGTACCTATTTAAAATGCTCTGTTTGTGTATCTGTATGGACTGTGATTCAGAAATGTGCTGTAGTAGTTTGTCAAAAATTTAACGCAACATGCAACAATTTCAAATATTTTACTGAGTTACAGAGTTCATATAAGAAAATCAGTCAATTGAAATACATTCATTAGGCCCTAATCTATGGATTTCACAAGACTGGGCAGGGGCGCAGCCATGGGTGGGCTGGGAGGGCATAGGCCCACCCACTTGGGAGCCAGGTCCACCTACTGGGGAGCCAGGCCCAGCCAATCAGAATTAGTTTTTCCCCACAAAAGGGCTTTATTACAGACAGAAATACTCCTCAGTTTCATCATGTCCAGGTGGCTGGTCGCAGGTGAAGAAGCCGGATGTGGAGGTCCTGGGCATGCGTGGTTACACGTGGTCTACGGTTGTGAGGCCGGTTGGAAGTACTCTAAAATGATGTTGTAGGCGGCTTATGGTAGAGAAATTAACAATCAATTATCTGGCAACAGCTCTGGTGGACATTCCTGCAGTCAGCATGACAATTGCGCGCTCCCTCAAAAGTTGAGACATCTGTGGCATTGTGTTGTGTGACAAAACTGCACATTTTACATTGGCCTTTTATTGTCCCCAGCACAAGCTGCACCTGTGTATTGATCATGCTGTTTAATCTGCTTCTTGATATGCCACACCTGTCAGGTGTATGGATTGTCTTGGCAAAGGAGAAATGCTCACTAACAAATTTGTGCACGACATTTGAGGGAAATAAGCTTTTTGTGCGTATGGAACATTTCTGGGATCTTTTATTTCAGATCATGAAACATGGGACCAACACTTTATTTAGTAGATTTGTAATTTTCAGTGTTTTTTCTGTTTTATACACCTTGGTGTGTATCCTATATTTACAATGTCAGTATTGATAACATTTTAGTTATTGATATAGTTTATTTGTCATGGACAATGCACAATAATCAACATATTCGACAGCACTGAGGTGTAACAGTGTCAGAGTTAACTAGACAGCAATGTTTTATTTATTAGTGGGTGGTCTGTATTTTCTAGGCTTTTTTATCCTGTATTCCCAAAGCTCAGACACTCTGTGCTCAACTTGATAATGCATAGCCTAGTGTACCAGTAGAATTACTTGTATTTAATTGAAAGGGAAAACAGCAGGGAAATATCAATGCACCCTTGTAAGAGAGAATGAGACATCTCTTCCATGGCAACGATAGATACATCTCTCTTTTGATGTTAGTCAATTTCCTCCATCCTAGCCTCCAACGCAATATGTTTTCCCGGCAGTCTCAACACAGACGCTCCTTGAAAAAAGCTTCTGACTGCCAACCGGTGTGCCTTCCTGCTCACACTCATCCAGTAAGAATGGAGTGATGGGCCCTCAGTGGACCATAATGCATTTAGTGACCTCTTGATTCACTAGAATACAGCATGAGGGATTTAACGTACAGACTGAGAGGAAGGGGAAAATAGGTCCTCTGGTGTTAGCTCATCGCTTGCATCCATGAGACGATTACAACCAACATGAATTGATCCCAGTGTGTTTGCGTTATACTGGGGACGCAAAACATGTGGTCTATTACAGCCAAATCTTGTCTGTAGATGGCAATAAATATTGCCATGTCTGTCAATGCATTGACACCAGACCTGGGTCAAATAGATGATGTTTTATACATTGCCTGCCCTTTTTGTTTTTTTAAATATATATATTTTTTAATTGTTCATTTATTTTTATTTTTGGGGGTAGATCAGCTTTAATATTGCAGATAGATTGTAACTTCCATCAATGTAATTCTCTCCATCCCTTCCAATCCCCCATATGTTTTTTTTCTTCTCACAAATATATATATAAATTATATATACACATACATATACACATAAATATGAATACATATTCAAAAGTTTGGGGTCACTTAGAAATGTCCTTGTTTTCCATGAAAACATACATGAAACGAGTTTGAATAGGAAATATAGCAAAATGCATCGGAAATGTAGTCATTGACAAGGTTAGAAATAATGACTTTTAAAAGAAATAATAATTGTGTCCTTCAAACGTTGCTTTCGTCGAAGAATCCTCCATTTGCAGCAATTACAGCCTTGCAGACCTTTGGCATTCTAGTTGTCAATTTGTTGAGGTAATCTGAAGAGATTTCACCCCATGCATCCTGAAGCACCTCCCACAAGTTGGATTGGCTTGATGGTCACTTCTTACGTACCATACAGTCAAGCTGCTCCCACAACAGCTCAATAGGGTTGAGATCCGGTGACCGTGCTGGCCACTCCATTATAGACAGAATACCAGCTGACTGCTTCTTCCCTAAATAGGTATTGCATAGTTTGGAGCTGTGCTTTGGGTCAATGTCCTGTTGTAGGAGGAAATTGGCTCCAATCAAGCGCCGTCCACAGGGTATGCATGGCGTTGCAAAATGGAGTGATAGCCTTCCTTCTTCAAGATCCCTTTTACCCTGTACAAATCTCCCACTTTACCACCACCAAAGCACCCCCAGACCATCACATTGCCTCCACCATGCTTGACAGATGGCATCAAGCACTCCTCCAGCATCTTTTCATTTGGTCTGCGTCTCACAAATGTTCTTCTTTGTGATCCGAACACCTCAAACTTCGATTCGTCTGTCCATAACACTTTTTTCCAATCTTCCTCTGTCCAGTGTCTGTGTTCTTTTGCCCATCTTAATCTTTTCTTTTTATTGGCCAGTCTGAGATATGGCTTTTTCTTTGCAACTCTGCCTAGAAGGTCAGCATCCCGGAGTCGCCTCTTCACTGTTGACGTTGAGAGTGGTGTTTCTCTATTTAAAGAAGCTGCCAGTTGAGGACCTGTGAGGCATCTGTTTCTCAAACTAGACACTAATGTATTTGTCCTCTTGCTCAGTTGTGCATCGGGGCCTCCCACTCCTCTTTCTATTCTGGTTAGAGCCAGTTTGCGCTGTTCTGTGAAGGGAGTACTACACAGCGTTGTACGAGATCTTCAGTTTCTTGGCCAATTTCTCGCATGTAATAGCCTTAATTTCTCAGAACAAGAATAGACTGATGAGTTTCAGAATAAAGTTATTTGTTTCTGGACATTTTGATTCTGTAATCGAACCCACAATTGCTGATGCTCCAGATACTCAACTAGTCTCAAGAAGGCCAGCTTTATTGCTTCTTTAATCAGCACAACAGTTTTCAGCTGTGCTAACATAATTGCAAAAGGGTTTTCTAATTATCAATTAGCCTTTTAAAATGATCAACTTGGATTAGCAAACATAATGTGCCATTGTAACACAGGACTGATGGTTGCTGATAATGGGCTTCTGTACGCCTATGTAGATATTCCATTAAAAATCAGCCGTTTCCAGCTACAACAGCCATTTACAACATTAACAATGTCTACACTGTATTTCTGATCAATTTTATGTTATTTTAATGGACAAAACATTTACTTTTGAACGGTAGTGTACATACAGTTGAAGTCGGAAGTTTACATACACCTTAGCCAAATACATTTAAACTCAGTTTTTCACAATTCCTGACATTTAATCCTAGTAAAAATTCCCTGTCTTAGGTCAGTTAGGATCACCACTTTATTTTAAGAAAGTGAAATGTCAGAATAATAGTAGAGAGAATGATTTATTTCAGCTTTTATTTATTTCATCAAATTCCCAGTGGGTCAGAAGTTTACATACACTCAATTAGTATTTGGTAGCATTGACCTTAAATTGTTTAACTTGGGGCAAACGTTTCGGGTAGCCTTCCACAAGCTTCCCACAATACGTTGGGTGAATTTTGGTCCATTCCTCCTGACAGAGCTGGTGTAACTGAGTCAGGTTTGTAGGCCTCCTTGCTCGCACACGCTTTTTCAGTTCTGCCCACACATTTTCTTTAGGATTGAGGTCAGGGCTTTGTGATGGCTACTCCAATACCTTTACTTTGTTGTCCTTAATCCATTTTGCCACAACTTTGGAAGTATGCTTGGGGACATTGTCCATTTGGAAGACCCATTTGCGACCAACCTTTAACTTCCTGACTGATGTCTTGAGATGTTGCTTCAATATATCCACATAATTTTCTTTCCTCATAATGCCATCTATTTTGTGAAGTGCACCAGGCCCTCCTGCAGCAAAGCACCCCCACAGCATGATGCTTCCATCCTTGTGCTTCACGGTTGGGATTGTGTTCTTCGGCTTGCAAGCCACCCCCTTTTTTCTCCAAACATAACGATGGTCATTATTGCCAAACAGTTCTATTTTTGTTTCATCAGACCAGAGGACATTTCTCCAAAAAGTACGATCTTTGTCCCCATGTGCAGTTGCAAACCGTAGTCTGGCTTTTTTATGGCGGTTTTAGAGCAGTGGCTTCTTCCTTGCTGAGCAGCCTTTCAGTTTATGTCGATATAGGACTCGTTTTTACTGTGGATATAGATACTTTTGTACCTGTTTCCTCCAGCATCTTCACAGGGTCCTTTGCTGTTGTTCTGGGATTGATTTGCACTTTTCGCACCAAAGTACGTTCATCTCTAGGAATAGAATGCGTCTCCTTCCTGAGCGGTATGACTGCTGTGTGGTCCCATGGTGTTTATACTTGCGTACTATTGTTTGTACAGATGAATGTGGTACCTTCAGGCATTTTGAAATTGCTCCCAAGGATGAACCAGACTTGTGGAGGTCTACAATTGTTTTTCTGAGGTCTTGGCTGATTTCTTTTGATTTTCCCATGATGCCAAGCAAAGAGGCACTGAGTTTGAAGGTAGGCCTTGAAATACATCCACAGGTATACCTCCAATTGACTCAAATGATGTCAATTAGCCTATCAGAAGCTTCTAAAGCCATGACATCATTTTCTGGAATTTTCCAAGCTGTTCAAAGGCACAGTGTATGTAAACTTCTGACCCACTGGAATTGTGATACAGTGAATTATAAGTGAAATAATCTGTCTGTAAACAATTGTTGGAAAATTGACTTGTGTCATGCACAAAGTAGATGTCCTAACCGACTTGCCAAAACTATAGAAATGTGTGGAGTGGTTGAAAAACGAGTTTTAATGACTCCAACCTAAGTGTATGTAAACTTCCGACTTCCAACTGTACATATATATACATATCCTTTAAAAAAAATGTTTTTCCCTTTATTACTTTCCAACCACACCACCCCTTCCCTAATTGGAATAAACTAGTGAACAACAACGCTTAGGCCTCTACTTCCAGCTTATACATACTACAGTGGGGGAAAAAAGTATTTAGTCAGCCACCAATTGTGCAAGTACTCCCACTTAAAAAGATGAGAGAGGCCTGTAATTTTCATCATAGGTACATGTCAACTATGACAGACAAATTGAGAATTTTTTTCTCCAGAAAATCACATTGTAGGATTTTTAATGAATTTATTTGCAAATTATGGTGGAAAATAAGTATTTGGTCACCTACAAACAAGCAAGATTTCTGGCTCTCACAGACCTGTAACTTCTTCTTTAAGAGGCTCCTCTGTCCTCCACTCGTTACCTGTATTAATGGCACCTGTTTGAACTTGTTATCAGTATTAAAGACACCTGTCCACAACCTCAAACATCACACTCCAAAACTCCACTATGGCCAAGACCAAAGAGCTGTCAAAGGACACCAGAAACAAAATTGTAGACCTGCACCAGGCTGGGAAGACTGAATCTGCAATAGGTAAAGCAGCTTGGTTTGAAGAAATCAACTGTGGGAGCAATTATTAGGAAATGGTAGACATACAAGACCACTGATAATCTCCCTCGATCTGGGGCTCCACGCAAGATCTCACCCGTGGGGTCAAAATGAATCACAAGAACGGTGAGCAAAAATCCCAGAACCACACGGGGGGAACCTAGTGAATGACCTGCAGAGAGCTGGGACCAAAGTAACAAAGCCTACCATCAGTAACACACTACGCCGCCAGGGACTCAAATCCTGCAGTGCCAGACATGTCCCCCTGCTTAAGCCAGTACATGTCCAGGCCCATCTGAAGTTTGCTAGAGTGCATTTGGATGATCCAGAAGAGGATTGGGAGAATGTCATATGGTCAGATGAAACCAAAATATAACTTTTTTGGTAAAACTCACTCGTCGTGTTTGAGGACAAAGAATGCTTGAGTTGCATCCAAAGAACACCATACCTACTGTGAAGCATGGGGTGGAAACATCATGCTTTGGGGCTGTTTTTCTGCAAAGGGACCAGGAGACTGATCCGTGTAAAGGAAAGAAATGAATGGGCCATGTATCGTGAGATTTTAAGTGAAAACCTCCTTCCATCAGCCAAGGGCATTGAAGATGAAACGTGGCTGGGTCTTTCAGCATGACAATGATCCCCAAACACCACCGCCAGGGCAACGATTCGTAAGAAGCATTTCAAGGTCCTGGAGTGGCCTAGCCAGTCTCCAGATCTCAACCCCATAGAACATTTTTGGAGGGAGTTGAAAGTCTGTGTTGCCCAGCGACAGCCCCAAAACATCACTGCTCTAGAGGAGATCTGCATGGAGGAATGGGCCAAAATACCAGCAACAGTGTGTGAAAACCTTGTGAAGACTTACAGAAAACGTTTGACCTGTGTCATTGCCAACAAAGGGTATATAACAAAGTATTGAGAAACTTTTGTTATTGACCAAATACTTATTTTCCACCATAATTTGCAAATAAATTCATTAAAAGTCCTACAATGTGATTTTCTGGATTTTATTTTCTCATTTTGTCTGTCATAGTTGACGTGTACCTATGATGAAAATTACAGGCCTCTCTCATCTTTTTAAGTGGGAGAACTTGCACAATTGGTGGCTGACTAAATACTTTTTTCCCCCACTGTATATACATTTTATGGACACAGTCAATTTTACAATACATTTGTTTTTACTCCTGAACTTCTTCTACCCTCAACCTCTCCGATCATTTTCATGATGTCCATCCGGTTTGCTTCTATATGCCATATCTTTCAAACTGTGCTCTTTCACAAAAGCTCTCAACCTATAACCTATATACTTATTATGGACAAAGTATGCTTTACATTAGTTTTCTTGTTGTTATTAGTTGTTATTAGTCCCATCCTTCAGCTCCATTCAACAACTCCCATCTATCTCCTTAACACCATCCATTTTGGATTTCTATTTGCCATATATTTTTCAACTGTACTGTGATGTTTCACAAAAGTTCTGAACCCTTCTATTGTCATTGTTTCTACAGATTGTAAATTGAAAATCAACATTTTTGTATTAAAAAGTATTATTATATTATTGATCGATTGACTATGACTTTTCAGATCACCCAGTAGTGCTATCTGCAGGGTTAGCTCCAGGTAAATATTGCAATCCTTCAGCCATTCCTGGACCTGTGACCAAAAACAAGCTACAAATGGACAGTACCAAAACAAATGATCTAATGATTCTGTCTCTTTGCAGCAAAATCTGCAGAGCTGGGAAGATTGTATCCCCCATATAAATAACATTCTATTAGTAGCAAGAATTTTGTATAATAATTTAAATTGAAAAATTCTAAGTTTTGAATCTGCCGTCGTTTTGCGTATCAGTTCATAAACACTATGCCATGGAATCGGTACGTCAAATATCTCCTCCCAACTATTTTGCAATGTATATGGGATGGCTGTCAATCCTTTGGTCCTTAAATGAAACTGGTATACCTTTTTTATTTATCACAATTTTCTTTAACCAATTATGTTCTTTAATGCAGGACCGACAGACAAGTTCCTTACTTTTTCCTTCTTCCACTTTCCTCTTCCATTTTTGCGGTAATGCTGCAATTATTTGGTTGTAATTTTGGGTAGAGCAGACATTTCCATATGTTTTTCTTAGCTGCATGTGCAACATAATTCCACCAGTCCTACCTATGATATAATTTACGAAGATTATACCTTTTTAAAACATTTTTTCAAAAAATAACATTTTTTTATCAATTAGTATATTTGAGTTTAACCACAATATTTGTTACATTATTTGTTCTGTCATTTCTGGAGGATTAAATTGAAATTGCAACCAACTTTCTATGGCTTGTTTTAGAAATGCCTGCCCTTTATTTTGTTTAGTCCAGTACAATGGAATGAATGGAGTAGTCCCAACAGCTAAATAAAATAAGATTTAATTGCCTCAAAAAGTTCCTCTTCTGTAAGTTGGCCTTCAAACGCGTCTTTCTGTAAATTTGTTATTTTTACATTATTATTATTATTATTAGGAAAGAAATCCTTACAGTTAACATCATTCTGTGGAAATGGAGGAGACTGAAAAGAAAACATATACTTAAAATATTTTGCTTCCTCTTTCAAAATATAATTTGGTGAATCATGGATGACTCCATAATTTGCAACGAGTTTCTGTAAATTATTTTTAGTAGCATTTATATGTTGAAGATTCCAGAAAAATTTGAATTTTTCACAATTTTCCATCCAATTCGCTTTATTTTTGTAATACATTACACTTGATCGTTCTTGAATAATTACCATTTACCTGCGCTGTTATTTCCTCTATTTCCTTTATTATTCTAATCTCTTTTGACCTAAACTGCTTTTGTTTTAATGATGAGTTTTGTATTGAATGGCCTCTAAAAGTACATTTAAAAGTGTCCCATACAATAAGGGGATCTGCTGTACCTATGTTGTGCAGAAAAAAGTCAATTATGAATTATTTTGTCTTAGTTAAGAACAAATTGTAATCCAATAGGCTTTGATTAAATTTCCAATATCCCTGTCCACGTGGAAATTCTGTAAGAGTTATATTGAGGACAATTAGATGGTGGTCCGATCGCATTCGGTCTCCTATTAATACTTTTTTTTAAACTTTTGATGCCAGCAAGAATGAGACCAGGAAGTAATCAAGACGGCCAGCTTGATTAAGCCTCCTCCATGTATAACTCACTAGGTCAGGGTTTTTCAGCCTCCATATACAGTGAGGGAAAAAAGTATTTGATCCCCTGCTGATTTTGTAAGTTTTCCCACTGACAAAGACATGATCAGTCTATAATTTAATTGTAGATTTATTTGAACAGTGAGAGTCAGAATAACAACAAAAAAATCCATTTAGTGAGGGAAATAAGTATTTGACCCCTCTGCAAAACATGACTTAGTACTTGGTGGCAAAACCCTTGTTGGCAATCAGAGGTCAGACGTTTCTTGTGGTTGGCCACCAGGTTTGCACACATCTCAGGAGGGATTTTGTCCCACTCCTCTTTGCAGATCTTCTCCAAGTCATTAAGGTTTCGAGCCTGACGTTTGGCAACTCGAACCTTCAGCTCCCTCCATAGATTGTCTATGGGATTAAGGTCTGGAGATTGGCTAGGCCACTCCAGGACCTTAATGTGCTTCTTCTTGAGCCACTCCTTTGTTGCCTTGGCCGTGTGTTTTGGGTCATTGTCATGCTGGAATGCCCTGGCTGAAGGAAGGAGGTTCTCACCCAAGATTTGACGGTACATGGCCCTGTCCATCGTCCCTTTGATGCGGTGAAGTTGTCCTGTCCCCTTAGCAGAAAAACACCCCCAAAGCATAATGTTTCTACCTCCAAGTTTGACGGTGGGGATGGTGTTCTTGGGGTCATAGGCAGCATTCCTCCTCCTCCAAACACGGCGAGTTGAGTTGATGCCAAAGAGCTCGATTTTGGTCTCATCTGACCACAACACTTTCACCCAGTTCTCCTCTGAATCATTCAGATGTTCATTGGCAAACTTCAGACGGGCCTGTATATGTGCTTTCTTGAGCAGGAGGACCTTGCGGGCGCTGCAGGATTTCAGTCCTTCACGGCGTAGTGTGTTACCAATTGTTTTCTTGGTGATTATGGTCCCAGCTGCCTTGAGATCATTGACAAGATCCTCCCGCGTAGTTCTGGGCGGATTCCTCACCGTTCTCATGATCATTGCAACTCCACGAGGTGAGATCTTGCATGGAGCCCCAGGCCGAGGGAGATTGACAGTTATTTTGTGTTTCTTCCATTTGCGAATAATCACACCAACTGTTGTCACCTTCTCACCAAGCTGCTTGGCGATGGACTTGTAGCCCATTCCAGCCTTGTGTAGGTCTACAATCTTGTCCCTGACATCCTTGGAGAGCTCTTTGGTCTTGGCCATGGTGGAGAGTTTGGAATCTGATTGATTGATTGCTTCTGTGGACAGGTGTCTTTTATACAGGTAACAAACTGAGATTAGGAGCACTCCCTTTAAGAGTGTGCTCCTAATCTCAGCTCGTTACCTGTATAAAAGACAGCTGGGAGCCAGAAATCTTTCTGATTGAGAGGGGGTCAAATACTTATTTCCCTCATTAAAATGCAAATCAATTTATAACATTTTTGACATGCGTTTTTCTGGATTTTTTTTGCTGTTATTCTGTCTCTCACTGTTCAAATAAACCTACCATTAAAATTATAGACTGATAATTTCTTTGTCAGTGGGCAAACGTACAAAATCAGCAGGGGATCAAATACTTTTTTCCCTCACTGTATCCACTAGTTCTAATGTATCCGTGATATTCGTGATCTCCTTAAGTGCTTGAGGGTGATAGTTTGTGATTTCCTTTACGATACATTGAGGTACTTAAAACCATATTATAATCTCCCACAATAATAATAGATTCATTGGTTGCTCAATATATTATTATACAGTACCAGTCAAAAGTTTGGACACACCTACTCATTCAAGGGTTTTTCTTTATTTTTACTATTTTCTACATTGTAGAATAATAGTGAAGACATCAACACAATGAAATAACACATATGGAATCATGTAGTAACCAAAAAAAGTGTTAAACAAATCAAAATATATTTTATATTTGAGATTCTTCAAAGTAGCCACCCTGTAACTTTATGACAGCTTTTTACACTCTTGGCATTCTCTCAACCAGCTTCACCTGGAATGCTTCTCCAACAGTCTTGAAGGAGTTCCCACATATGCAGAGCACTTGTTGGCTGCTTTTCCTTTACTCTGCTGTCAGACTCATCCCAAACCATCTCAATTGGGTTGAGGTCTGGGGATTGTGGAGGCCAGGTCATCTGATGCAGCACTCCATCACTCTCCTTCATGGTAAAATAGCCCTTACACAGCCTGGAGGTGTGTTGGGTCATTGTCCTGTTGAAAAACAAATGATAGTCCCACTAAGCCCAAACCAGATGGGATGGCGTATCACTGCAGAATGCTGTGGTAGCCATACTGGTTAAGTGTGCCTTGAATTCTAAATATATCACAGACAGTGTCACCAGCAAAGCACCCCCACACCATAACACCTCCTCCATGCTTTATGGTGGGAACTACACATGCGTAGATCATCCGTTCACCAACACTGCATCTCACAAAGACACAGCAGTTGGAACCAAAAATCTCAAATTTGGACTCCAGACCAAAGGACAGATTTCCACCGGTCTAATGTCCATTGCTCGTGTTTCTTGGCCCAAGCAGGTCTCTTCTTGTTATTGGAGTCCTTTAGTAGTAGTTTCTTTGCAGCAATTCGACCATGAAGGACTGATTCACAGTCCCCTCTGAACAATTGATGTTGAGATGTATCTGTGACTTGAACTCTGTGAAGCATTTATTTGGTCTGCAATTTCTGAGGCTGGTAACTCTAATGAACTTATCCTCTGCAGCAGAGGTAACTCTGGGTCTTCCATTCCTGTGGCGGTCCTCATGAGAGCCAGTTTCATCATAGCGCTTGATGGTATTTGCGACTGCACTTGAAAAAACTTTCAAAGTTCTTGAAATGTTCCATATTGACTGATCTTAATGTCTTAAAGTAATGATGGACTGTCGTTTCTCTTTGCTTATTTGAGCTGTTCTTGCCATAATATGGACTTAGTCTTTTACCAAATAGGGCTATCTTCTGTATACCCCCCCCCCCCCCCCCACCTTGTCACCACAACTGATTGGCTCAAACACATTAAGAAGGAAAGAAATTCCACAATTAACTTTTTAGAAGGCACACCTGTTAATTGAAAAGCATTCCTCATGAAGCTGGTTGAGAGAATGCCAAGAGTTTGCAAAGCTGTCATCAAGGCAAAGGGTGGCTATTTGAAGAATGTCAAATATAAAATATATAATGATTTGTTTAACACTTATTTGATTACAACATGATTCCATATGTGTTATTTCATAGTTTTGATGTCTTCACTATTATTCTACAGTGTAAAAATAAAGAAAAACCCTTGAGTAGGTGTGTCCAAACTTTTGACTGGTGGTGTATATATTTTCGAAGAAGTGTGGATCATCATTATTTGGCCCATGGCAGTTTGTTAGGTGTTGTTTTGACTTGGAATTGTGGGCCTTTTCTCTCTGTAGGAAGATGTGGCTGAGTAAGGTGGGGAGTCCCAGCTCACGCATTGACCACGCCGAGTTCTCTAACGAGAGGGACATCCCCAAACTGGAAATCCATGGCTTTGGCACTCGCTACTGAGCGCCAGAGCAGCGACAAAGCACAGCAGCAGCAAGTATCCACCCTGAGGCCTGCCTCAAAGGAATTAGTAGCATCTCAACTTCTAAGGTGGTTGATTTGTCCTGTAATATTCACATCTTCACAGTTTAAAATGTCATTCTAAAGCCTGTTATGCCATTTATTTATTGTTTGAAGAATAGTTATTTGAATGATACCCAGAAATGTTATATTTGTATTATAATATGTTATCATGTAACCCACAGAAGAAGTTCGACATGAGTTGTTTGCTAAATGCAACTTTTAAATTGCACTTAAATGCCATGTATGTCAATAATAGTCAACCTTTAAAATGTTGAGTTCATCCCATCACAAAGACAGAAATAAAATAATTTAGTGAAACCACTGTGTGAACATTTTCAGTAGTTTTAAATATTTCAGATGTTTTGATGAGGTTCTGCAGAGTTGTTTTTCTCAACATATACTCACCGGACAGTTTATTAGGTACACACATCTAGTACCGGGTCGGACACCCCTTTGCCTCCAGAACAGCCTGATTTCTTCAGGGCATTTTACAAGGTGTTGGAAATGTTCCACAGGGATGTTGGTCCAAGCTGACGCGATGGCATCAATCAGTTGCTGCAGATTGGACGGCAGTACATTCATGCTGCGAACAGCCCGTTCCATCTCATCCCAAAGATGCTCTATTGGGTTGAGGTCTGGGGACTGCGCACGCCACTCAAGTAAACTGAACTTGCTGTCATGTTCCAGGCGATGTTTTCCACTCCTCAATTTTCCAGTGTTGGTCATCGCGTGCCCATTGGAGACGCTTCTTCTTGTTTTTAGCTGATAGGAGTGGAAACCGGTGTGGTCATCGGAGCAATAGCCCATCCGTGACAAGGATCGACGAGTTCTTGTGTTCCGAGATGCCGTTCTGCACACCACTGTTGTACTGTACCGTTATTTGTCTGTTTGTGGCCCGCCTGTTAGCTTGCACGATTCTTGCCATTATCCTTCGACCTCTCTCATCAATGAGCAGTTTTTTCCCACAGGACTGTCATTGACTGGATGTTGTTTGTCGCACCATTCTCGGTGAACCCTAGACACTGTCGTGTGTGAAAAGCCCAGGATGGAGGCCGTTTCTGAGATATTGGATTCGGCGCGCCTGGCACTGACGATTATACCACACTCAAAGTCGCTTTGGTCACTTGTTTTGCCCATTCTTTATTTTATTTTATTTTGTACTTTTTACCCCTTTTTCGTGATATCAAATTGGCAGTTACAGTCTTGTCCCATCGCTGCAACTCCAGTACGGACTCAGGAGAGGCGAAGGTCGAGAGCCATGCGTCCTCCGAAACACGACCCTACCAAGCCGCACTGGTTCTTGACACACTGCTAGCTTAACCAGGAAGCCAGCCGCACCAATGTGTCGGAGGAAACACCGTACAACTGGCGACCGAAGTCAGCGTGCATGCACCCGGCCTGCCACAAGGAGTCGCTAGAGCGCAATGGGACAAGGACATCCCGGCTGGCCAAACCCCCCCTAACCCGGATGACGCTGGGCCAATTGTGCGCCGCTTCATGGGTCTCCCGGTCGCGGCCGGCTGCGACACAGCCTGGGATTGAACCCTGGTCTGTAGTGACGCCTTAAGCACTGCAATGCAGTGCCTTAGACCGCTGCGCCACTCGGGAGGCTGTTTTGCCCATTCTAACGTTCAATCGAACAGTAACTGAATGCCTAGATGCCTGTGCCTGCTTTTTGTACAGTGCCTTCAGAAACTATTACCTAACACCCCTTCACTTTTTCCAAATGTTGTTGTATTACAGCCTGAATTTTAAATGGATTAAATTGAGATTTTTTGGTCACTGGCCTACACACAATACCCCATAATGTCAAAGTGGAATTTTTTTCAACCCCTTTGTTATGGCAAGCCTAAATAAGTTTGAATGACTACCTCATCTCTGTACCCCACACGTACAATTATCTGTAAGCTCCCTCAGTCAAGCAGTGAATTTCAAACACAGATTCAACCACAAAGATACAGGTGTCCTTCCTAACTCAGTTGCCGGAGAGGAAGGCAACCGCTCAGGGATTTCACAATTTAATCAATTTTGAATTCAGGCTGTAACACAACAAAATGTGGAGTAAGTCAAGGAGTATTAATACTTTCTGAAGGCACTATAGCAAGCCACGGAAAATGGAGTGATCCATTTTCATGAACGGGTGTTACCTAATAAACTGGCCAGTGAGTGTATAATAATCAGATTCAATTATAGAGTGCCCTTCATACAAGTTCACCACACCAATGTCCATGATCCAAATAACAACATTAATGTTATTGTTTTGGGATGTAGGTTACAGTAGAGTAAAATCATCACAAGCTGTGAGCCTGTACAGTCATCACAAGCTGAAAGCCTGCCTATTTGAGCGAGACGTAGGGCTCCACCTGTGGGAGAAATCAACCAATCGTAGCAGTGCTTTGCCCTCCTCACAACTCTGTTTCCTAGGCAAGGATAGTCGGCCTCTGTAAACATCCCTTAAAGGGAAACATTTTCACCGCTTTTTTCAGTGAGTGATCTTTCAGACATAATTATGCATTATAGTTGTATTTTTTTTATTTTTGCGCCGGGAGAGTTCAACCAATGATGTCATTGGTTGATTGAGCCTGCTGTCTGATAGAAAAATGAATGCAGTCACGTTTTTTAGCAATTATTGTGGCCTTTTTGTTTCGCCAATTGCACGATCACGTTAGTAGATATGGTTGTCCTTGTCCTTTCAACGTTCATTGGACTTGTCTCCTATCTGCCAGGACATTGCAGGATATCTAGGTTGTCTCATTACTACTTTGTCCCCATCAATACACACTCAAACAATGTACTATATTCACCCACCCCCCTCATGTCTATAGATCATGCATACTAACCTTCACACACAATACCCACCACCAACAGACACCAGTCAGTCAGCCACACCATCCCCTCCTTACTAATACCTCCTTTTCTCCAATTTAGACTTCAAGTCTTGCATGTACAATCAACTCAGCCTCTAGAATACAGAGAAAGTTACAGTAGAAGTTGTAGCATACTTGTAAACACATCAACTATGACAAGAAGACACGGATCATGTTTATGCCTAGCTCCAGTATTTTGCTCATCATGGAGTTATGGATAGATTGAGTTGATTTTAGTAAGATTTTAGAGGATGACTAACACTAGTTCCTGGTGCTGAGCTTGACACTGATGCCTCTGCAGATTTTGAGGGGATCGGACTCTAAATAGAACACAGTCACGTTAGCCTCTGCGGTAGACATGGCAACCCCATTAGTTGAGACTTCAGTTCCGTTTCGAAATCTTCTGGTTGAAAGAGCTGGCTACAAACAGACATTATGATATTTCTCATACCTCCATGGGGCGGTCCTCCACGTCCTGAACTCGCTATGAATTCTGGATATTGTGGTTTGCTTACAACCAGGCAATGTAGCTGGCCCGTTTCTATCGGCGAGATGCAGAAACGCTCGTATTTAAGTGTAGTAAGGAAATTCTAAATTTTGCGACACATATTATATGTTAATAACATATTAATGTACATATATAGTGAAATAGAGCAGTGGGGAAATTTGCCTTTAAAGGGCGACTGCACTTCCTGATTTGGCATTGTTTTTCATCAATGCTCATTAAGAAATGCTAGCGGCCATGACTGAAAGCAAACAAGAGTTGTCTTGGGGGTGTGGTTTGATCTAGGTGTTTCTTGGGTGTATCTTTGCCATTCAATCACAACAAAGGGCAGTAGTGAGTACAGCAAGGTAAGCTAAGCTAGCTTTGCTATGGAGAGAACAAAGTTTTGAAGTTGAGGACTTCTCCCCTCCTAACTGACTCGCCATATCAAAATGGTCAGCTAATTCAGTTCTGTGTAGGCAAAGGCCTGCCCTGACCTTATGTTTAGCCAAGCTGACAGCAGCTAGCTAGCATAGATTGGTGATAGCTGCAGCTGGCTAGCCTATCGAGCTGATATTTCTCTGTCAAATCAGTTATGGCTAGATATCAAGTGCCAGTGTCTGGAATGTGTTTCATGAGACACTCGTTCTACAACACCTTGCTACATCATGTAAATACATGTTACCATGGAAACTATCAACTGCGATTTGAATGCCCGGTCTTGAATCAGCTCAGCTGTCCTAGAACACAATATTCTATAACTGGCTAGTTTTGTCTCATCTCGTCTCTCCTTATGTCCGCTGTTAGATCTTTCCCTGGGGACAAATCCCAGACCCACTGGACACAGACGTCAATTCAACGTCTATTCCACATTGATTCAATGAAATTTCATTGGAATGACATAGAAACAACTAGGAATGGGCATTTGAAATTTTGGGATTGTTCGAGTACTCATATTATTTTTTTGGGAGTGCTCGAATAACATTTTAAAAAGCTATTTTTAGAACACAAGGCCCCCACTGGAAACAAATATGTGTTCATTTATCTATATGCCAACAGTGTGCAACAATGCCTAATTTATCATAAGCATTACAGATAACACAACCTAATTCAGAGGGTAAATGGGCAAGAGTATTTAGGTGCCTTTGAACAGGGTATGGTAGTAGGTGCCAGGCGAACCGGTTTGAGTGTGTCAAGAACTGTAATGCTGCTGGGTTTTTCACGCTCAACAGTTTCCCGTGTGTATCAAGAATGGTCCACCAGCCTACTTGGCACAACTGTGGGAAGCATTGGAGTCAACATGGGCCAGCATCCCTGTGGAACGCTTTCGAAACCTTGTAGAGTCCATGCCTCGACAAATTTAGACTGTTCTGAGGGCAAAAGGGGATCCAACTCAATATTAGGAAGGTGTAAATTGCCATACTTGAGTAAAAGTAAATATACCTTAATAGAAAATAACTCCAGTAAACTCCACCCAGTAAAATACTGCTTGAGTAAAAGTCTAAAAGTATTTGGTTTTAAATATACTTAATGTATCAAATGTAAATGGAATTGCTCAAATATACTTATGTATCAAAAGTAAAAGTATA